CAAACACACTGTTAATAACTAGTTACCGAAATGGAGAACTTTCCACAACGAGGTCACACAAACAAATATCCTGGAGTCCTGCTTTCGATGAATGCTATCCAAGTATAGAGTTAGCTCCCGGCAATGCTTATGGACTGCTCCAAGCAAGCTCCGCTAATTACCATTATTCTCACTAACAACGGATGTTTTCACATCTCTATATTGTCCCCACTTAACGTAGACAGAGGGGGGTCATCACATGCATGTCTTACCCCACATTTACCTTTTTCATCCCTTTCCATCTGTTCAAAAGACGCACTGCAATGTCTTCCAAAACTACCATTAATCACAGTGTTCCAACATGTCCAGGACACCCAGGTTAGACAAACGCCTTTTCTCGGCGACTGAATGGGACTCTCTGTCAAGACAACGCAGGTTCCAGGTACCTAAGGTTGTTGACAGTGTCTGATCCATCTCCACAGATTGGTCGAGTTGCGGGATGTGGGCAGCTGAGTGGTCCGAGTTTATAATTATTAATTTAGTTAGTTAGGTTAACTAGTTTACTAAATTACCAGGGACCTAAGCCCAATTTCCATACATAGTTAAATGGGTACTTCACCCTTCTTTAGTCCTATTTAACGTCAGAAACGGCCTAGATTAGCAGGTGAAACAACCATAAACTAAACGATCATGCACAAATCTAGCGGGGGGCGAAAGATTTTCATACACACTGTGGTTTGACGTGAGGAAAGGAGTCAGGATTTATGGTTGACAGAGCGCTTAGCTGTTTCAGAGTAACTAAACTATCTAACAACCGTTCGCTGTTTGTAACTTGACTGACCCACGTCCTCTGAATAGGTAGTTAATAGTTACTCGCTGGGGTTGGTTTTGAGCCGCTGTTTCATAAACCCCAACCAAATCCACGCCAAATTGTCTGAAAAGTCAGACAAGGCCAAAAATATATCGGGATGAGCGCGTGAGATGCAGTTGAAATAAGACAAGAAAAGAGCTGATGGGAGGCTGTGGTCCCCACTTTCTTAGAATTCCAATTTTGCAGATTGACCGCGCATGAAAATTGGGGAAGCTCAGCTCTATCGAGGTAGTTAACTAAATAATAGGATTCTACTGACTATTCTGTATAATCAACCACGCATAACCAGAACTTATAGCATGCCTTTTCGGATAGGGCGCGCCCGCCCCAACTGATATGAAGACTTTATGCTCTCGCTGCTTAACTGCTCAGCATCCTTCTTCGCTTGAAATTTTTGTTTTCCCCCCTCGTGGAAGCTCCTGGTGCTCCGCCGCATCCCCTGCTGGATGAGGATAATGGATTGGGTCTGAGGAAAATGGCGGAATGGCAGGAACTCTGTTGTTGGTATAACTGATATCTGGTCTGGCGCCCTTTATCTTTATCGAGAAGACAGGAATCAAGCAAGGTAAGTCTCTGGAACTTGTAACTATGATGAGGGAGCTGGCGCAAGGCGCATAACATTTCCTCGCTGCGCCATGACGATGGCTCAACATTCCATTGGGTGGTTGCTTTGAATGCATTCTCCTGATAATATCTGCCAGTCATCTGCCATCATATTTTTGCCCTTCTTGAGACAGGATCGTCTCAACCCTTGACTCGCACGAGAGATTAAGACAACTCTCTGCGAAGCCTTCTGCTGCTGCGCCCGCCAGTACTGTCTGAATTCCTGGCGCGGATGATTAATTGTTCAGCTGCGATGGATTAGCAAACAGAATGCCTGAATGAATTTGCTTTAAGTATCTCCAATCAGGTTTTTATTGCAATGAGCATTTGTGAGGCATAGCGCTGTGGAGCAGCGCGAAGTCTATATGGAGGGGCGGGAAGAGGAATTCTTAATCTTCTGCTGTATCTCCCTCCCAACCATAGCCCGTGCACGCAGCTTAAAACCTTAGATTCCTATTCAATTCCCCCCTTCGGCAGAATAAAATAGTTCTTTTTCGGTCTTCCCACTAAAAATTCTTCTTCTTATCAATCACCTGCTTCAACCAAAGGATCTCTTATCACTCATGACAACATGCCGCGCAGCCATACCAACCTCTTTGGGAGGGGCGTCACAACAAGCTAAGAGAATCTTTTCAAAACTCTCTTGATGAATGTGGATCTTAGATCCCGCCCGAGATCAGCCTCTCCTCACTGTTAAAGATACTGGTCAACAAAGGTGATGTGTAGTTTTCCCACCTTTAAATTCCGAGGAGGCGGAACTACTTTCCAAACGCATGCTATCTACCAAACAGGCGATTTGCTTATTTCCACCGTGGACCAATATACATGGAACTGGTTGTGATGCTGCTTCATGCCGTTCTTGATCCAAACTACCAGACACCATTCTGGTCCCCCGAACACAGTTGCACTGCGCTGTTGATTGCAGGGAAAAGCAGGGAACCTGATATTGTTTACTTGCTTCTCAGAGCGCCGGCTCTGATACTTCTCTGAGAGATATAAATGGTGGAACTGCTTATGATGGTGTTAAAGGTGGATTTCTAGATCTAAGCAGACTCTAATAGGCTGCTGCTGAGGGGAGGAACATGATGCGGGAGGGTTTGCCGGCCCGAGATATCCTCTTCTTCCCCGTGATTCGCGGTTGATAAATAAATTCTTAAGCCAGTTCCATATTTCTTCAACCCCACCCCGGCTGAACCTGTAGAAGGTTGAGCAATGGCCAACAATGGCGTGGGAGGGTTGCTATTTTTCCATGTCTACCTATCCTACCAATTCCCCCCGAGTCAGGCCTTCGGCGTTGCATCAAGATTCCGGCAGCACCCAGTCAATGATTCAGCAAGACCAAAGACAGAAATGAGACCATCTGTCCAAAGAAACGTCCCTGATCAGCATATCCAAGAGGGAACCACCCAGTAGACCTGGCATTGTTTGCTTCGCCTCGCCGCTGAAGGTCGCAGTTTTTATCACGTCCATGCAATCAACTGGCCCTCAAGGTTAACACAATATCTGGAGCAGCCGGCCCCCCGAAGTGGATTTTTTTTTAAACTCTCAAGGTAAAACAAAGTCATACTGCCTCTCCTCTCGTCAAACTGCTAAGTTTCTTCCGCTATACAACCCTCTTCTGGAAGGTAATAAAAGTAGTCTCTTCGCTGCACCTGTTAACACCTGACTATGACAACAACTGAATCGGCTCAAAGATTGATGGGTGACTTTGAGGCTATAACGAGACCTTGTCCTCTAGGTAATTGAGAGTATCTGAACCTGGATCTGTTTATTCAGAAGGCTCGAAGAGTCAGGGGCTGGAGGAAATGAGCTGGGTACGGGTATGCCAGCTGCTCTTATACTGGTGTATAACTGTTAGGGATCAAGGTGATTCCTATGAGATGGATTGGACTCGTCCTTCGTCCAGAAGTTATAGACTATGTACTGGCGATTGGGCCTTTTTGACAGGAAGTTATTAACCTCCAACAAACAGTTAACTACGTGTTTTAGTTACTATCATTCACGTGATTGATCTAACAGCCCCACTCTGTGGGGTTTTGGTCACAACTTGCACTACTATCGTGAACAAGTTCGAAGTTACTCTGTTCGCTGTCCATATTGCACCTGAAATGGTAATGGGATGCCACAGATTACTCGCTGCTCCTTTTAAGACCCAAGCCCATTCAGTTTAGGCAAACTTCACTGATAAGTGGATACCGGGATATCTCGCGAGCCCCAATGGCGGAACATCAATTCAAGAAGTGTGAGTTCCATACCAAGACTCCATCGGGCCAACATCATAACTTTTAACAGTGTAACAAAGCACCATTTGCCTACACTTCCGGTCGATGGCTACATCTTGACAAGCTGCAGCGTGAAGCGCGGTACATACAGTTCAATTTTGACTGTCTTTGTGATAAAGTCCTCTCTCTGTGTCCATCTGCCACTTCAATCCAATCCTATCAGAAACTGGAGGGCGGCTTCAACAGAGCATTCATCTTTACAACTGATGATGGGAGACGTGTTGTTGCAAAGTTTCCGACATCAGTTGCTGGATCAGCTAGATTTGTCACAAACTCTGAAGTTGCAACAATTACTTACTGTAAGGCTACATGCAAGTGGATCTATATTTGGGAAGACAGCTTTCCTTAACTTGTGCATACAGTGCAACATCATCTCAAAATACCAATTCCAACCATCCTGGACTGGTGTGATGACCCGTCCAACCCCATTGGCTCAGCATACATTATAATGGAACATGCCGGTGGCATTTCACTGTATCAAATGTGGCCAAAAATGTCCTTTTCCCAGAGAATGAATTGCATTAGATCAATTTCCACAGGTATTATGAAGATGTCTGAACTTAATTTTCCAGGATATGGCAGTCTTTATTTTACTGATGCAGTGTTTCTCGATGCTGATTTGAAGCAAAAGCTGGATGGTGACTGCAAGTACTGCATTGGGCCGAATTGCAGAAACACATACTGGGATTGCAATGTTGGAGAGCCCAGGAACTATGCATTGAAGGGACCGAATAGGGGCCCATGTGAGATATTCTTTCTCTCTTCAATATATCATAGTTTCTTACTTATTGATATCTTTAGGGAGTGATCTTCTCTCATACTCTTCTGCTTTAATTGATGTCGGCCTTGCAAGATTGCCCCCAGCTGAGAATCTTGCTCCTCATCAGCAACCATCTTATAAAGGCTCCGTGGGCGAGCATCTGGAACTTTTGAGCCTAGGTCAGGCCCTATTTCCCATATTGACGCGACATCCTCAGATACAATCTAATGCAGCCCCAACTCTATTCCATTCGGATCTACACAAGAGAAACATCTTTGTGTCTGAGGATGATCCCACTATTGTGACAGGTTTTATTGATTGGCAATCTACAAGTATTGAGCCAGCATTCTACTATGCAGATGAGGTACCTGATTTCGCGAAGCCACCCGTGAATGAAACACCAGAGAGCATTGAAGAGAGTATCTGCAGTCAGGCTTTTGAAGAAGAGTTGGGACTTCTGGCTCCGCGGCTAGCGGCGGTGAGAAAGATTGATGAGACTCTCCTCCGGCCATTCCGCTGCTGTCATCGGACATGGAAAGATGGCTTGGTATCATTTACTCATGAATTGATGCAGCTGAGGGAGCACTGGCAAGACCTTGGCTTTGAAGAAGACTGTCCTATCCCTGCCTTGAGCTTAGAGGAAATGCGCATTCACCAGGAACGACTAGATATCTATGACAAGATGTCGGGTGTCAGACAGGATATTGTTGAGATGTTGGGAGTTGGGCAGCATGGCTGGATCCCTGAATATCGCTGGGAGGAAGTAAAGGAAACTCATCAACGTATATACAAGGCTGTTTTGGCAACCACGGAGAGCGAGAAGGACCGCCAAGAGATAAAGATGATGTGGCCGTTTGATGTAATTGAAGCATGACATGTAGGAAAGGTTGGAAAACATGAGATCTGCTTGTACCACCCACCCCTGGCATGCTGTTTTGAAGTCGGTCGACATATCAAATCATTAGTGTTATCTGCAACTACATCCCATCTTCCTGAGACAGACTTGTCTCACTCTTTATTCCCCAAGAGATTGAGATTATACTCTGTAGAGATTTTTGTTACTACGCCGCAAGCTGTGCAGGATGGGAAGTATTGGATTCGGCTCTCGGGGAAGCTCTCACAGTTCCACCACACTTAGATGAGAAGAGCATCGAAGCGCGAACGGTCTGGCTGGGCTATATATCTGGTCGGGAGGGTTGGGGCATCTTTGGGGACTTCGAGGCAAAAAACTTGTCTATGAAAAAACTACTTGTTGTAGGATGGAGGGCAAAATGCGAGCTCTGAGACCCCAAAAATGATTAAGCTGAGAATTTCACCCACCAATGATTACTTTCGCAGTCAACACCGCAAACATTATCCCCACCCGTTCATAATTGGCTCCATCTTCTAACCAGTCGCTGAAACATATAGTCAACAGTAAATCATTTTTTCAATATTACAAATTTATACAAAAAATGAAAAAGATGATCTTGATGATATTTAATATTTAATATTGAAATATATATAAAGTTCTTATAGAGATTTATAAGTTTAAAAATAAAATATATAAAAAATATATATCAAGATTAAAATTTAGTAAGATATTTAATTCAAACTCTTATCAAATTAATTCAGTTTTAACTAGTGTAAAATATAAAAAGTACTCAGCTCCTTTATAATACTTTTCAATTAATTTTCAATAAAAGAAAATTATTTAATAAAATAAAAAAGACATTTAAAATACTTTACATAGTTAAACAAATCAGGATTAATTTACTTTGTAAATAAATTAAACTATAAATGATGAGGAAATGCAGGAAGAAATTTTTTAAATACATTTTATAACACAGTAGTAAATTTTCATTTAATATAAGTAATAGTTAGAAATTTTAAATTTAAATTAATTTTTTATCAAAAAATAGATGATAATTTAAATAGAAGTGAGAAAATATCAAATTTTTTTACTTAATAAATAAAGCAATAATTATAATCTTATAAATTTCACTTATTAAAAAAGTAATTAATTGAAAATTTTATAACTAATTTCTTTAAGTTAACATTATTAACAAAGCTATATATAAATGATTTTGAATTATATTTTATTATTTTATTATTATTTAAATTAAAATTTTTTAACTAGCTTTTAAAATTTTAATTTTATAACAAGGTGAATCAAATTTATATTAAAAATATTAAAGAAAAAAAAATAAAAGTAGTAAAAGTTTATATAAATTAAAAAAAACTTTAAAATAATAACTTTTATAGTTCTAAAAGTTAGATGAATCTGAATTTTTATAAATTTCAATTTATTTTACTTTGAATTTCTTCAGTTTTTACTCAGAAGTTGAACTTTAAATATAAAATTAATATTTTATATTTCTTATAATAATAATTGTAAAATAATTTTAAACTTATTAATTTATTTTACTTAATAAATTTATTTATTTCAAAGATAATTATATAAAAATTAAAATAATATAAAACAATATATTCAATTATTATAGCTTTTAAATATATTAAAAAAAGTATTATTATTTTTTTAATAAAATTATATATATTTTAAATTTTTTACGTTAATATAATCTTTTTAAAGCAGGTAAATATTTTTTTAAAACTATTATATTTAATTATATAATTATGATATCAAATAGTAAAAGATAGAAATTATAAAATTAAAATAAATTTTTATAAGTTTTTATTAAAATTTAAATCTATTTATATTACTAAAGAATAGTAAATCTTTAATAATTTATAAGTAATTATATATATTTAATATTAAAATTTAATTATTTAAAATTAAAATTTTATCTATTCTGAAATCTAAATATAAGAGAAATAGCAAGTAGCTAGTTATGAAATCTGTAAATTAATAATATAATTTTCAAGTGAGTAGAATATTTAAGTAAGCAGAATATCAAATCAATATATTTCAACTGATTAGATTTTAAATCAAATTATCTCAACACCACAATACTTAATTAAATTATATTAAATTACACTAAGTTAAGGATATCTTATTCTTATATGTCTAAGAGTGCCATAATTGCTACAGTATTATGAAGCTTATTGATATGATATAGACTTAGATAGCTGAGACTCATGAGATTGAATAACTGTCTGTTCAACAGATGCAGTAGATAAAATAACAAAATTTAAAACTTTATTTCTAATTATATCTTTTGTATATTAAATTTAATATCTAGATCTATTCTGCATTTGCTTCTCTATTTCATTTATATTAAATATATTCAGATATTATTTTTTCAAAATAGTGATGCTGATCATGTTATATTCATAAGTCTTGAAAATTTAATCAAGATTTTCTACTAAGTTCTAAGACTGATCTTTTATAAGCTTTTTAATCTTTTTTGCTTGCTGCTGCAACTATTAAAGGTTTCTAGATGTTTAAAAAATCTAGAATGATGTACTAGATATGTTAGATAATAGCATCAAAGTGTAGAGTTGAATATTCAACTATTGAATAATATAGTCAGACTGAAGTAACACTATTTTAAAAGTCTTGAAGTTATTCTAAATATTCTAAGCTTTAAAAGATTCTATACAGACTGCAGAATAAGCTTCTAAGAAATTAATCTTGAAAATAATATTGATTTTAAACTACATTTACTATTAGACTAGACTATTATATACTTACTTTAAAACTGAAAAAATGCTCACATCTAGTAGCTGCAAAAGATGTGATGAATAAGAAAAAATATAAAGATAGATAATTGCATTATCTTTGAATATTTGATCAAATTCTAGAGTAAAATGACTGCTATATCTGTCCAAAATATGAAGAATAAAACTATTAATTTTATATATCTTTACTTCTAGAATAAATATTTGTGTAAGTCATTTAAGACCTATTTTATCAGTAGTCCAGTTATTAAAACTAACGTCAAGCCTCCAGCTATTTAAAAGGCTTTCAAACTAACCTTCTTGCAGATTCTGACCTTTGAGAATAATATATAGAATAGAGCCTATTTTGATAAATTGACTGACTTAATTATAGTCATTTATTTCTAATTTTCAGACTGTAAAAGCTTTGTTCAGCTATAGTACTCACTGCTAGTAATAATCTTAGTAGTAGCACAGAGTTTCATTGCAAAGTCAGTCTCAATAACATTGTATATCTTATCTAACAAAATTCTATACTCAGTATTTACATCCTCTAAGATCATAAATCAAGTCTGAATAATCTTTATATTCTCATATTTAGCCTGGTTATAATTATAGTGTCTGGAGTAACAGGTCTAAAGCTCAGGACAGCATGCCACTAGATTTGACACTCAGTTCTTGCCAACGCAAGAGGGGGAGGAGGGAGGAGAAAGAAGGAAGAGATAGTAGTGAAGATGATGAAAGTCTGTATAGTAAGAAGATAATTAGCTGTATTCTTAATAAATGCTAGCTATGAGGTAAATCCTCATTTAGCTTAATCTAGCACTTATTTAACTAGTCTATTCTTTTCAACCTGGGTTAATTTGATTGAATTTTCCTATAGATTCATATGAGCAGTCTAGCTATTGAGTTGATAACTTAGAGTAGATAATAATACATCAAATACATATGCAGCTTCATAGATTAAGAAGATTTCTTGCTTTTTTAAAGCATTTATCATAAGTTCAATTTTCTCTTCTCTCTCAAGAGAATTTGAAGTATTTTTAGTATAAATTGATAGTATAATTGCATATTGAGATAAATAAGTAGTTAAATAAGAAGACATTTTGAATTGATGTTCTGCTTATTTGAGTGTTTTACATACTTAAAAATTACATTAATAATGTAATTTATCATCTAGTTGATCAAATCATCTAGTTAATCAGTCTTTTATCACTCAAAGTATTTCAGATTAAATTAAGCAACAATTATATACAGAAAGTAATAAATTATATTAAGAATTATTTTCTGCCCACTAGGAGTATGTATGAGCAGTATGTTCAATAGTCTCATATAGACTATACTACGATACTGTGTATTTTTGTAATTAAGAGTCAGCAGCTTCAATCACCTCTTCTTTTGATTTATTGACCCTTTATACATGATTCAAGCCTTCTTCAATCCTCAAAGCACTCTTTTGAGCTATATATATATGATTTGTTTTTCACTTTCTCTTTTGTTTTGCATTTGTAGCTCTTAGTTCCTTGATCTTCTGCTTCAAAACTGCCATTCTATGCATAGTCATTTGACAGCCCTTGACAAGCTGGCTTAGAGTCTGATGAGTAGGACTGGGTGGACTATGCATGCAGTGTTTAATATATTTCCTGACCTTCTCAGTCTGCGGCTCCAATTGATGTATATTATATGATATGACTATAGTCCAGAAAGCTTGAAAGCTATGAGAAGTTCTAGAAGAGATGAGTGTATGTATTATGATATTAAAATGTTAGAGAATCTGTTCAGAATTATACAAAATTAATCCAGCAGCTCTAAAACTGCTCTTGATTTTATTCTCATTCAGAGCCTGTATATAAGCAGTTAGATATAGAGTCAAAAACTTCTTTTTGTCAATATAATTGATTTCAAGCTGCATCTGTTTCTCTATCAGTTGTCTGTACACTGTTTTCAGAGAGAAGAAGCAGTCAACATTCAATGACTGAAGAAGATAAGAGGAATAAGCTGGCATGTAAAGAGTAATAATATTATTCTCAGAGCAGAACCAGTCAAATTCAGCTGAAGTATAACTTTTATATTTATCAAAAATCAACAATCAGTATTTGTTCTTTATACAAGATAAGGTGTTCTTGTTGAACATCTTCTTCAGTCAATACAGACTTAGCTTATCAGTTGTCTAGTCATTATCACTGACTTCAATGACCCAGTTATCTGACAGTCCTTTCATCTTATATCAATAGAATTAATGCACTTTTTCTTTGAGAATGATTATTATATAAA